ACAACATGAGGATCAACATCAAGTACTACATGTATCTTAATGACTCCACTAATCTGGTAAGAAGGCATCAAGTTCAGAGTTTACTTATTTTTTTCTTTCATTGCAATTCTTGACACGTGAAGATTCCGGGGTAGAATAGGTCTTCAGCAACCCATGCTTGTCGTAAAAGGTGACTATGCATGTCGTAAAAGGCGACTAACGGGATCGGGTGGTCGGGCTCGCTGACTTGATTGATGCATGTCATCGATCCCAATTGCGTGGATCGATGCTCATGATGTTAATCACTGGATTGTCTGGTCCAGACTCGATTATTTACAGACCGCCGTCATATAGCTGAGTGCGGCGTTAAACAACAAACCAACCAACCGACCAACATTGCAATTCTTTTGCGATAGGGACATTGAATTGGTTTAAGTCAAAACGTTCTATCAATGACACGTCATGACATAACACCACTACAACACGTTTCAAATGTGACTTCATTATGAAGATCACCTCATCTACACCCTGGCATCTTTAGAAGCGAACGGAAACATCTTTTTATTTATTTATTTACATTTTGTACAAGAAAAATACATTTATTTTGAACTGATGACCACACGCAATATATCAGAGTGATTTCACAAACATGTTCGTTAAATGGTATGGTCCCAAAAATTTCCATCGAATGACGAATGTTCATACTGATTTCGTACGTCTTGTGGGCCCTATTAATTTGAGTGAGTGAGTATGGTTTTACGCCGCTTTTAGCAATATTCCAGCAATATAACGGCGGGGGACACCAATATGGGCTTCACACATTGTACCCATATCGGGAATCGAACCCGGGTCTTCGGCATGACGAGCGATCGCTTCAACCACTAGGCTACCCGACCGCCCCCTATTAATTTGAAGTTAATCTCCACATTCATTGTCCTTCAAATGGAAAGCATTGTAGCTAAAAAATCAATTATATCGATTCTCGTCATCATTATCATTGTTTTACGATGATCGACGCGTGTAGAGACATTGAAACACAGGCGCTCTATTATTTCATATGAAAGAAACATGAGATAAGCATTTAGATCATGACAATTTCACATTTAGATGCGTGTCAGTATATATTCACCTTGCCTTACTGACTGAGATTTCTTGTAGTTAGCAATGACCCGGATACTGTATCTTATTTAGTTGTAACAATGGTAGCTACGTGGTATGACAATTACTTGAATGCTAAGCTTTGATTTATTTCGATAACGAAGTCACCAGAAGCCTAATGCGGCGTATACTCCATCAATAAAAGACTACCTCTGATAGTGGGTTGCCGTGTTTAACTAATGTTGTGTAAAGAGACAAGCAGTTTTGTAGTTTGAAGCGTATAAAAGATGAGGACTAGAGAAGCGTGAATGGTTTGGAAGGTGCAGTCACGTACAAGAAGAAAAACATCCAGTGGAACATGATGGTTCGAACTCACTTAAACTCCCACGTATACCTTTATGAACCTCAGTGTATTCAAATGGATCCGCAATAATGATTCGTTAATCCTCAAATGTGGTACTTTGGACGATTTCAGTTGTCTCATCGGCATGTCAGCATGATGTGGGAGGAAAGTCCTACGTGATGCAAGTCTTAGACGTTTACCATTTTGAGGAAACGGGTGTGGTGCAAACCTTGAATAATTATCAGGACGAATTTCCATAATAAACATGCTTCTAGCACGAATAAGGAATTCCGTCATCACCCTGTCCTTGCCAAAATGCTCGTGTTCTTCGTCTAGGTTGTTTGGCACACTTTTGGGATGTGAACTGCCCTAAAAGCAAAACGTGCCGAACTATTACGCGGGGTATTAATACAAAATAATATTTGACAAAATTCGTATTTTCTTTTAAAATCTGATCCATCTGAGTATCGGAAGTAAGTTGTTGTTTATAAAGTCCGAAACTGTGATAGTCTGTAAAGAGAAATTAAGTCACATTATTACATAACTACGTCCGTATTTTGTTACTCCTCAAATTGAAAGGTGAGGTGAAGTGAGGTTAATGCTGCGTTACGACTATTGCACTTTGAAAGCGCCGTACTTGTCTTTGGGTGTAGCTGCTGGTACTGGTCCAGATTTATGTCGGTTTTAAAGAGCTATACCACTGAGTTGCCATGCTGCAGTATACCAAGGATATCCCTCTCCAACACAATATACCGACCACTCCTTGTGTTATCCTCTTAATGCCGAGTGCAATCACTGTACCAAGAAAAAACAATCTTTTGATGTCGTTTGGTATGGCGTGGCCAGGGGATCGAACCACCGACCTTCCGCTCTTGGGACATACGTACCACTCACTAGACCATGCAGTGATATGGGGTTGAGGAGGGCATTAATATTTGCTTTTTTGGCTTGGGGTCAGCAGTCGCATTAATTTAGAGACCCCTTAATTTCAAGATTTACAGTACCTTATATCAGACCAAACATCATATTACAGCTACAGTGATATACTATTCGTCTATATGTGATCACTATATAAATACGTTTCCAAACCCTATGTAGCTATAGGCCTACATGTATAAGCTACCCATTCCACACGGTATTATATAACACCTCTAGGGCATTGGGGTAATAGACATGTCATTGATGCCGTTCCCGGAACCTTATTGTTATGCTAACTCATGACTGAATATGGCAGGCGTGTTTCCAACGGTAACGATTTTATTCATCTATTCATAAAGCCTTCACGTCCTTTACCATATCCGGAATGAAATAAGAGATATCAATTATGTACCGGTATATTTCCAGTGTGTGTCCAATATGTATAATCATATGTAACACCGTGCTGGCGCCTAGTATAGACATGGAGATTGCGTTGCATTTCAGATAGATCATATGTTAAGCTGTTTCAGTTTCTGAACCATCATACAGAGGCTGAGACAATAGGTTTTGCTTCCGTTTTAAGTTGCTGTAGTATTTCTGGACAAAGAATAGGCCATTGACCATAGATGGGCTTTCACAGCAAAGATAGTTACACAGACTATACAAAGACGGATACATAGATACACAAATACACACACACACACACACTCACTCACTCTCTCTCTATCTCTCTCTCTCTCTCTCTCTCTCAAACACACACACACACACACACACACACACACACTGGCAGACAGACATATACACACTGACAGCTACATAAATGTATACAAAGACAGATACATAGACATACACACAGTCTGACACACATATATACACCCATGCATAGACATTCATACAAGCATACAGACAGACACACAAGTGCTTCAGCTACACACACATATACACACACACTGCCACACAGACACAAGCACGCACAGATACAGTTACACAGATGGCTGCACAGCCATACATACATGCAGAGGCATACATAGACACAGGCACACATACACAGACAGACATACATACACAAAGACACACAAGAGCTACAGCTACACACAGACACATACACGGACATACAGACACAAGCATTCAGACACACAGACAGATACAAGCGCTACAGCTACACACAAACACACACACAATCGCGACAGCTACACACAGACCCACACAAACGGTACAGGTACTCAAACAGCTACACACAGACACGCACAAGAGCTATACCTCACAAACAGCTGCACACAGACACACGAGCACACAAGCGCTACATCTACACAACTGCTACAGTCACACACACAAGCCGTACAGCTACACACAGAAACACTCTCACACGTGCAAACGACCACACGTCTTTGCATTAGTGTCTTGACACTGGCGAGATACTGCAAGCACTGTTTATCAATCCCTTCTTCGAATCATTTAAGAAGACGATCGTTATCCAGACTGAGCTAATGGCTGTAAGGGCTGGTAATGTCGCTGAATTATTTACGGAATTGTACACCACATCAGTCATGCAAAAGACCTCCCTGATGGCCTCCAACGATAGCGTGTTGCTCAAAATACGTATCCGGTCTTTGGCCTCGTCATCCTCCCCCTCATAACCTTCTATTCCTGGGAGTAATGGCAGACTCTCATAAAAGACAAGATCTGCAAACTGTTGACATATCGCAATAGATGTCTTGAAGTAAACTCCCCCGTACGATTGCATATGTGACTGTGTATTGTAACTGCATGACTTTCATTTTATTGCTTTCTCGCATTTTGTCAGTGACTGTCAATGAAACTGTCACTTTAAGTTTTTGTACTCACGCTTACGTACGGAACAATACTGATCGCTGATACATGATGCAAGAAAATTAATAACAAAACGCAGTTTAAATAGTTGAATCTTATTCAAACACTCACTGATCGTGTGTTACTAGCTTTTGCTACAATTACAACATTTACATTTAGAGGAAAAGAGCTGTCAAATATTCATAATCAATCACGACAGCTAATTCAATTTCTAAAAACACAGCAGTAATTGTATACAAGCCATTAGTATTACCTAACCTCTTAACATAAGGTAATGCCTGGGGACAATCTACTCCGATGGTCAACGTCTACTAAACAACCGCTGTTCGATGTACGTCTGGCCATCATCTCAGCATAAGGTCATCTGAGCAGATGCAATTACACCATTAGTCGATACAACTCATGCACTCTCCGGAGGTCGGTTTACACATGCAGCTGGCGTCAGTCTATTTCGAACCAGAATGGCAACAATTAAATAAGTGTGTAAATTACGGTTTCCTCTTGAAATAGATGACAACATGCTAAGTTTTGATCTTTTGTTATAGTACCATTGATTATTTCGACAAAAATCACGGCGGTGCAAAGCAAAGTGCATGACGATCTAATAGGTAATTAGTTCGCCCTGTCCGTCTTAAGTCCTGCTGATCGGATTCCGTGTTCCTGGATCTTTTCTTGGCGACAGAAAGGTATAGTCACTAAGCCGATCACCGTGCTCTAGTTGTAGCCAGCAAGTTGGTTCCAGGCGTTAGCATCGAGACCAACATGCCACAGGTACACACTCATTGAAGGCGGTTCTGGCTATGGGTTGTAAATATACAGACCCTTGAGAAGCACTCCTGAGTTACTTTGGTTCCTGATCTAGCTGTTGCCACAAGCTTTATGCCGTTCAGAGTCGTTTAGTTCAGAATGGTGGATAATTTGTGACATGCCTTATATGGGAGCGATTCTTCTGTGATAGAACAGCATTTACTGGTAAGTACGAGAACAAGGTTTTGTTTGTCTGGTGTTTGTGTAGATTTTATATTGAGGTTTCTTTGTGTAAGCTTTTCAGAAATGATTCTTAAAATAACCATGTGCATTGTGAAACCGTGACTGGTGAATGAAATATATGATACATGTCGCTGAACGTACAGCTTAATCATTCCAATGAATTAAATTTGATGCTATGTGATACGTAAATATTATGTTGTAATATGTTTATAATGTGTCTGACATAAGGAGGTTGTTTCATCGAAACGTGAGGAGATTTCTTATTTATGTCTTGAAATTGTTATGTGACCACAATGAACAAATGTGTTCCAGCGAGGTGTGTTGTCGGTTACTTCGATAATCATGGTATTTATGAAGCGCCTACTTACAGATAACGATGAATGGAAGGAAGTAGTTAGTTTTAGTTGATGTTTTGCGATATAAATATAATTTTGTGTCAATGCAAGAGAATAACCAGTCTAGATTAATCAACCGAAACAGATTCCATTTGGTTCAAAGGGCAAAACAGCTGTCAAAATTATATGAATGGACCACTGAAAATCAGTGCTGACACCAGTTGTTCGCGATAAGAAAAGAAGAGAAGTTAAAGCAATACGTTTCAGTTATGATAAATAATTTGAAATCATTATGTATTACATTCGCCTTGAAATGTTTGAACTAGAAAGGGTACATCTTCGCATACTTCAGCGGGGCTAGAGTGCCTTTGGTATACGTACAGAAGACAATTCACATTCAATCAGCTGTCGAGGTAATCTCGACACAAACCAAGAACACGATGTGGTCGTACTTGTTGGGGTTAATACAATGTGAAGAGATGCGTTTTTTAATGGTCGTGCTTTTTAATCCCTGATTCTGCCCGATTACGATCCTAGTCCACTGTTAGTACTTAAGTACCATTAAGTTTCACAATAGTGGTTAATGCTTTCAGCCTGTCCCACATCCGCTCTCATGCATTAAGTGGCGTGACATCTTTGAATCGTCATTGAACCGAACTCACTCACTCATACACTACAAAACCCGATTAAAGAATAGTTATGTGTTAATGTCAATGAGAGAGAAGAGCAAGTGGCACTATACGCCAAGTGTCCCAATGATCTGTAAAGGGTATATACAATTGGCAAGTAACGTTCTTTCTTGTTTTTTTCATATGTGCATTGTGGGAACTGTTATTTACGCTTATCATCAACACAATTAGCATAAATTAACATACCTTGCAGATAATATGTTACATTTTATTACATTTTCAATTAGTTTAAAAATAATCAACATCAAAACATGTAAAATAATACATTATTGGCGATATTTATATTATTGCTGTTTTTCTCACTATCCTTACGTTTAAATTCGTAACCAACCAACAAACTGCAATGTCGATTTTTAGAAGACACGAGTTAAATATTTATGTAGTGAGTGATTGATTGAGTGATTGAGTGAGTGAGTGAGTGAGTGAGTATGGTTTTACGCGGCTTTTATCAATATTCCAACAATATCAGGGCGGGGGACACCAAAAATGGGCTTCACACATTGTACCCATGTCGGGAATCGAAGCCGGTCTCTGGCGTGACGAGCGAACGCTTTAACCACTAGGCTACCCGACCGCCCCATATTTATGTAATGATTGAGTGAAAATACATCATGCCCATTTAAATACTCATAATATATTAGTCATACATATATGTATTGCAGAATTACTCATGACAGATTGTCTTGCCGTTGTACGAAAAAACTGTAAGCTCTATAGTGATGACGGTAAAATAGCTTAATTATCACTGGGAGGCAAACATATCCCAGCGTGTCAAATTTATGTGAAAAAAAAGCCCGACAGAATGCATGCCTCAGACATTTATATTTTGAGAAACCCACGACTTTGGTATGATGTCAAGCAAAAAATCAAAATGAGGATGAATCTGAGATACCTTCATAGGATCATGTTACGCTCAAGGGGGGCGACTCTGTACGTCGAATTGTGTCATCATAGACGACTGGGTCCCACATGCCTACATATCAAAGATAGTAGTTAATGACAGTAGTAAATCACGATGAAAGAACATATTAGAGAAAGCGTAGCACCACGGAGTCCATTACTGGAGGAAAAGACTACATTAAGCTTTGTGGCATGTTTGATGCGAACAGATCACATCGATCGTGGTTGGTCCGTTTCTCTCAATCCTGTCGTCAATACAGCTATACTCATCCCCTGGTTCAGGGAAACACGGTAATGACATTTGGAACATATATTCTCCATTCGGCGTGAGAATATGGACCATTGTTACGGTAAGATATGCCTTATTGCAGGCAATACTATGATGTAGGATAATTATTTAACCAGGACTTAATTAGACAACAAACTCTGACTTGTAATGTATTTCTCGATGGCCTAGACCCACAAATAGAGCACATTAACTATGTTTCCTGCTTTGTCATCAAGCCCGGCACCATGGAGTGTAATTAGGGTCGTGATTAGTTCACATGCTTTGATTTAGATGGAATAGAGTACACGAAGACGCGGAGACCAACAGTGAGTGATGGACTTTATGGTGCAATGTTCTAGTCGGGCAGGATGAGATAGGTTCGACTGCTATATATGTAAGCAACTATACATGTTATACTTGTAATGCGTGTTGGAATTAATCATATGCTGCACAGTCTCAAATGTTTTATGACTTGCCTGAGGTAACTCATTCGTTAGGGAAGGTGGTAAAATCCGTTTACATAACAAGAAATCGGATAACAGCAAGCCCATTGGAGCCGACTAACCAAGACGTTATTCTTCTTTAACCAGAAGTTATAATTGTGAGCTTGTTGTTTGTATGTCAGAGTAGAATATTATGTAGGTACACCAGAATAGGCGATACGGATTGTTTATCAAAGTAGGTTCAACCACACATATATCAGAGGAGGGTATATTGTAGGTACATCAGAGTAAGTTGTACTGTAGGTACATCAGAGTACGTTGTACTGTAGGTAAATCAGAGGAGGTTATACTGTAGGTATATCAGAGGAGGTTATACTGTAGCTATATCAGAGTAGGTTGTACTGTAAATATATCAGGGTCATCTTCCCGAGGCAAGTGAGTTAACTGACTTTAAAAGTCCAGTTTCCACCCTTGCCGAACTAGGCTGGAATTACTGGGCTATATCGTAGCACCACCAGAGGCTATTACCAGTTATGTCCCTTCTAAACCTCTCCTATGGACCAATCAGATTCCACTTCTCGTATCACTTGTGTTTGCTTCGCACAAAATGGTGGCGCCCAGTCAGGACGATCTGATCGATAATAAAGATCTATATTGTGATAAAACGGGTCCTACATCGCGAAATGCATCAAATCACGTGAGCACCTTGATTAAAAACATGAAACGATTTGGAAAATATCTGCTGACAACGAGTTGGCGGTGCACATGCTTTGCAAATCCTGAAAACGACCGAAATCTGCACGACAGTTTACGAACCGGATTTCGATTTCATTGAGCGATTATGATTGGACTATGCATACTATAGACTCGTTAGCCCAGCCAAAATGTAACTCCATAATGCCAGCCTAGTTCGGCAAGGGTGGAAACTGAACTTTTAAAGTAAGTTAAATCTCTTGCCTCGGGGATATTTATCAGGGTAGGTTATACTGAAGGTATATCAGAGTAGGCTCTACTATACATATATCAGAGGAGGTTCTACTGCACATATAATAGAGGAGGTTCTACTGCACATATATTAGAGGAGGTTCTACTGCACATATAATAGAGGAGGTTCTACATTACATATATCAGAGGAGGTTCTACTACACATACATCAATGGAGGTTCTACTGCACATATATCAGAGGAGGTTCTACTATACATATATCAGAGGAAGTTCTACTACACATACATCAGAGGAAGTTCTGCTGCACATATATCAGAGGAGGTTCTACTGCACATATAATAGAGTAGGTTCTACTGCACATATATCAGAGGAGGTTCTACTACACATACATCAGAGGAGGTTCTACTGCACATATAATAGAGGATGTTCTATTGCACATATATCAGAGGAGGTTCTACTATACATATATCAGAGGAGGTTCTACTGCACATATATCAGAGGAGGTTCTACTGCACATATATCAGAGTACGTTCTACGACGCATATATTAGAGGAGGTTCTACTATACATATATCAGAAGAGGTTCTACTATACATATATCAGAGGAGGTTCCACTACACATTTATCAGAGGAGGTTCTACTACGCATACATCAGAGGAGGTTCTACTATACATATATCAGAGGAGTTTATACTACGCATATATCAGAGGAGGTTCTACTACACATATATCAGAGGAGGTTCTACTACACATATATCAGAGGAGGTTCTACTACACATTTATCAGAGGAGGTCCTACTACACATATATCAGAGGAGGTTCCACTACGCATATATCAGAGGAGGTTCTACTACGCATATATCAGAGGATGTTCTACAATACATATATCAGAGGATGTTCGACTACGCATATATCACAGGAGATTCTACTATGCATATATCAGAGGATGTTCTACTACACATATATCAGAGGAGGTTCCACTACACATTTATCAGAGGAGGTTCTACTACACATATATCAGAGGAGGTTCCACTACGCATATATCAGAGGAGGTTCTACTACGCATATATCAGAGGAGGTTCTACTAAGCATACATTAGAGGAGGTTCTACTATACATATATCAGAAGAGGTTCTACTACACATATATCAGAGGATGTTCTACTACACATATATCAGAGGAGATTCTACTACACATTTATCAGAGGAGGTTCTACTATACATATATCACAGGAGGTTCAACTAAAAATATATCAGAGGAGTTTCTACTACTCATATATTAGAGGAGGTTGTACTGTATGTATTTCAGAGTAGGTTATAGTGTATGTATATCGGAGTGGGTTGTACTGAAGGTATATCAGAGAAGGTTGTACTGTAGGTATATCAGTGTACGTTATGCTGTAGATA